GTATAACAGTTGCTGGGCAGTGCATCATAGCTGTTGATGAGTGCGAGGTGGTTCTCTCAGGAAAAAGGATGAGAGGTACATCTGGCACAACAACAAATATTCATAACATTAAACCACAGCCTGATTATATGCACCTATAGGCAACAAGGAGTTCATATGTGATGAAATATGGCCAGAAATCTAGTCTTTGAGAAATAACTTGTTTTATGTGTCTTGCGGCTGTAATTGCCCAAGCTATATATTACTACCTTTTTATTCATGAAAAATTCGAATTCGCTTCGGTGTATTACATACGTTTGCTTTAAAGGAGTCAAACTGACGTTAAGCGATTAAACTTATATAGAATGATGATGGTTAGGTTACTTTTATCGAGTATGATGTCATACTGTATAATATGTTTGTCGGCATGTCGTTGAACGTTAGAGCGGTAAAATGGAAGGTTTTTTAGACTGTCAGGTGTACTGTGATTAAACTGGTTATTAATTTTTGGTATATACAACGTGAATATTATTTTGGCTTTAATTAGTATTTGTAAGGTATCGCTCTCCTTTTCGATATTTTTTACCGTCTTCTTGCTATGATCTCCGTCTGTTTCTGGAGTATGGTTTGACTGGATAACTTACAAAAGGGCATATTGCAGGTTAACCCGAGAGATGGCTGACTCATTCGTTGTTTTTTAAGCTTTTGCTCACTTCCATGCTTCTGAAGTAAAGACATTGCCAAGTGGTCGTCCTTCTCCTTTCTCATCGTTGTTTCACATTCACTTCATTATATGCCGTAATGGTTTGGTATTCGGAATGCATTTCAGTGAATTGGTTCTAAGTGTTTCCGTGTACTCTTTAAACTGTGAAATTCTCCCGTCCTAGTCATACTACTGATAGAATGTTATTGAATTTATTTAATAAAGTATGTACTAAAAGTTATTTGTTATGTGTTAAAGGTGATGTTTCGAAGAACGGAGCTGATATCGTTTACTACGTTACTTCTATATAATTTTATATTCTTTCAAATGAAGTCATCGCCAATGGCTGATTTTTGATGCCTCTGCACAATGTGCAAGGAATTTAATCTGTCCTTTGAAACACAGGATGATAGTTAAACCCGTTTGTACTCATTTTGGTACGAAAGCATGTCAGTCCGCGCACATCCGCCGGATTTAAACGTGTTATATTTATGCCATGACGACCTCTGCCTGAAATCTATCCAAATCCATCTCATCCTCCGCGACCGTACGCATTGGGCAGCATTATTTGACTATGCTTATTGTCATATAGTTCCGTTTGTGTCTTTATGCATTCTTGCACCGTGATAATCAGACAGGTAGTCCTTCTGCTTCATTTCTGTAAGTTATTATGGATTAATTTTTGGTTTATTTTGCATACGCGTATATGCTGAAAAGTTGAGTTCTTTGTGATTCCATTCAGGCAGTTGACTTTTTTAGGCTTTAGACGTTGGACTGAGTTTCAGAAAATCCGTCTTCATGTGTCAGCCGTATTTGCGGCTGTTCTTCAGGCTGATCTCGTTAAACTTGGAATCTCTCTAGCATGCCTCTTCTTCTGGCTCGCTGCTCAAGTTTCAACGGACTCACATTTTTTATATGGCCGAAAAAACATGAGTTGTGTCCAAAGAAAGCCATTGCTTTTGTCAGCTTGATGATACCGGAATGGATCGATTCACCTCGGGTGCTCTGTTTCAGCGTCCGAACTGAACTGTTTAGATGACCCTTAGAAGCGAGGAAGTGGGACATGATATCAAGAAACTAGTTTGGTAGGGTTTTGCGCTTATGCAATGAACTGAAGTCATTCGGTTTCGATGATCTCTTGTACTTTCGAGTTGTCGAGGCAACGATTCTTATAGATTTGCTTGCTGCACAACAGATCGTCTGTACGATTGCTGTACGCGTCACGTGTTATGGGCAGGCAATTGGTCGAGCACGCAATTGTTTTCGTAGAAACAGTAGTTCGAATTAATTGTCGTCAAGAAATGTCCTTGCAGCTGATTCTGAGTACGAAAAGGAAGCCGAAGTCGCTGCATTTGGGTAACCTGTTTGTAAAAAACAAGGTAATGTGGAGGTACTAATTCTGCCGGAAGAGTAAATATCGTGGCAGATTGCACACATCGGATGAGTGCGTTATTCTGCCAGAGTGGATGTAGGGAGCGTGCCATAATGTCTCAGGATTCTACCCATGAGGTTGTTGCCTTATCATTTGTAGGGCTGTAACAAGCAGATGCCGGGAAATTGCCACCCGTCCATAGTATGAAGCTGATAATCAGGCGTCAGAGAGTCGAGTCGAGCGTCGGGTTACCAACTTAAACGATTTGGTACTGCCGGAAGGGTGCATGCAGACATTTAGCTACGAGGATTTCCTTATGATAGACAGTGGATCCAGTAACGATCGTGCGTTAATGTTTCTACTAGTTATAATTTGCGTGTATTGTCGCAGTCGTTCATCTGGTATGCCAACGAAATATTTAAAATAGTTACTGAATTAATTCAGCAAATGTACACGATCTATGGTATAAAGTACTCCAGTGTCATACCAACGGTATTTGCCTCATTGCCGGACAAAACGGAGGCGAGTTATTTGCGAATGTTGGACATGATGAAACATCTACAGCCAAGTTTGGCACCTCAGTCGGTATCGACTGATTTCGGGCATGCGGCCATTAACGCTTTTCACAGAAGCTTTCTAAATGTCCTGCATCGCGGGTGCTTTTTCCCTTTCGC